TTTCATTTCCTATATCCATACAAAAGACATGTCGCGTTCGAAACATACTGTAATTCTATTGTTTAGAATTAAATGCACATTAATGATGATTATCTTTACTAGAAGGAGTAGAAAAAATGAGCTAAAGTTGTAAAAAATATAACAAGTAAAATAAATATATACTCAAGAGAGAAATCTTTGTAAATATCTTTGCTCAGATTTTTTATTTTATCAAATTCTGAAACGTTTTTCTTTTATATCGCTGTATCCAATTGGTAGTACAAAAAAAGAAAAAATAGAAAACACTAGTTGACTCTAATACGGATGTGGAAAAAATTGTAGAAAAACAAAGAAAAAGAAATAGAGAAATAATATCATCTAACAATGTTTGAAAAACAAAGAAAAAAAAACACATCATTATCATCATCAATAACGACTCATATCTTATTGCTTTATTTCAAAGTGTAAAAGCACTCCGCTACTAATCTAAACTCAACTTTCTGAATTCACTTTAAGAATTGTTTACATGATGTTTTTTTTACACATTTAAGGCTGAAGTATTGCCTGTAGTCAGTATGATTGAATAAATTGATACACGAGATCCAAGTATGTCTTTTTGTTTGAAAATTTTATTTTGTTGTATAATTTAACTGTTTCCTGATAGTAAATATGGTATGAAAGAATATTTTTCTATGGATGGTGTCTTTTCATCATCTTATGTTGAACGAACGATTTAAATTCTTAGGATAGACGCTTTTCTACAGTCTTATCATGCAGACGATTTTATGTAATCGGCCATAGACGAATTAATCTAAACGGCTTACTCCAAAAGAGATATAAAATAGTTTTTTGTAGCATATTCTCATCTACCCGTCGTCGCCTTTATTGCTAGTATCTCTTGTGAAGGCAAGTGATCTAAACAATCTGTTTTTAGGTTCTGTTTTATTCTCGTATTGAATTTGAAATTATAGATTATTTCAAAATATCTTCAAATAACGGGTGGCGCATAATAAACGGGACACTTTTGTTCTTTATTTTTAAGGCACTTTCGAATGATCTAAAAATCTGGTTCTAGTCTCATTCGATAGAAAATTGAATTCTCTACAAAACCTGCTTTTTGAATCTCTGATAGCATTTTTCTCGTTTGAGCACCACTCAGAATATTGAATAGTGCTAAATGCTCAAACTGCGACGTGCTTTTGTTATATGCTTTTTTGAGATTTTTAGCCCATTGTCTGAGGTTCAATAGTTGCTTTTCTAGGTAGAAAAATAGAGAATTTTGTGCTCTGTCGGATACAAAACTAGATTCAAAAGTTAGATTTTTTTAGATTTATCACCTTTTTGCAAAGAAATTTTCGTAGAAAACTTAACTGTAGAATTTCGAAGAATGTGTAAGAAGATGCAGCATTTTCCGGTGAGTCTTCTGATGTTTTTAAAATTCTTATGAAGTCTGTTCTGGGATCAAGGCAAATATTTTTCTGTTTTCGGTATGTCGCAGTTCGAGAATTTAGCACTATTATATTTTGAGTGGTGATTAAACAAGAAAAATGCTATCATAGATTCAAAAGGCAGGTTTTGTAGAGAATTCAATTCTCTATCGAATGTGACTAGAACCAGATTTTTAGATCATTCGGAAGTGCCTTAGAAATAAAGAACAAAAGTGACCCGTTTATTATGCGCCACTCGTTAATTGAAAGATTAAAATCAATAGTGTTTTTGTATATAGAGACAATCACAGTTTTTGCTCTATAAGATAAATTTTACATGATTTGAAAATCTAACCTTCATCTGCTGTAAATTTCAAATATTCAAATAATTTCGTTCTTGAGATGATATTAATTCCTATCTTCAATACCAAGTGTCTGTTTATGTAGCTATTAGTAAAATATTTTGTTTCCGTTGAGTAAAATATGTTGTACTTTAACAAGATATCCTTCCATTCATCTTTAACTTGCTCATCTACGCCATTGTTTTCTTGTCATAACGACAGATGTACAACCATTACGAAACAGTACATGATTAATGTGATATCAGCACATCGGCAGATCTCAGTGATAGAGAAGAAATATGACTGAATTAATACAACCGTCTTTGAGTACACTTCTTAAACATGGATGATTTTTGTTCTTCATTCATATAGCAAGTTGTGCGGTTAAACTACATGTGAATCCATTGAATAAGTTCTTTTGAATGACTGAGATGACTTAGCTTGCATCATCGCTAAGGATGAGCGGTAAAAGATTTTTTTACTGAAGTTTACCGCGGTAAAATTTTGAAGTTTTTGCCGTAAGCCACTAACGATAATAAAATTATTTTTACCGAAATTCTATTTCTATTTTTACCACTACGGTTTTTTGAACTTTTGACTCATCAGAACATGAAATCAGACATGGTGAAATATTCAATGTTTCTCAGAGATAACCTGTGAAGTGAAGCAGGTGTAAATCGAAACTTTTTGAATGTTTCTCATTCATTTTAACTTGTTCTTTTCCATGAATAAACCTATTCATCGTAGTTTAAAAGTAACTTACATACATTATTAAAAACTCTGTCACCATCGGTAACGGTAAAATATTTCTTTTACAGTAGTTTACCACGGAAAAAATTTGAGATTTTTTACCGGTTTGAAATTACCGCGCTAAAAATCTGAAGTTGTTACCGAAGCATCGGTAACCGCAAGATGTTTTTACCGTTACCGCCCGTCCCTAATCATCACCCATCGTGTCAGATCTAACAAAAGGCTTTAGTAAGGTCAGTATACATAACTAATGTTATCATTTTTAATGCTAATGTTGTATCTTGCTAAAATTGGAAGAATTTTGCTGCTATTGAGGTAGATTGTCTGCAGTCAGTGCTGATCGCGTAAAAAAGAAGAATTACTAAAGTTATTCATCTATCGTCTCAAAGAGATCATAAAACACTTCATATACATTTTCTGTGCATGATAATAACTATATTAGACTCGTAATTTCTATCAAAATGAAAGTGTTTTTTCCTTTGACAACAGGAGCATATGTACTTGCTTTCAATGTCATTGTGAGAGAACTCAAAAAGTCGAAACTTGTCCCATACGGGTTGAGCTGAAACTTTGGGAAGTCAATGATAATCAACTGTACTTGTACAGTTTGGGAAAGTTACGTGTTTCCACATTCTATGGTTTACATATGGCCGGAATAACCTTGTGAGAAGGATGAAATTAAAGCTTTAAAACATAAAAATTCAGTTAACTCCTAATGCAATTTATGCAAGAAGTAACTACAGATTGCGCCATTATGGTAGCGCCACCTGTATTTATTCTAAAGTTAACATCTTCAAGAGCACAAAATTTTGTGATAACCCTTTTGTATATAGACAATGCAATTTTTATATTTTAAAGGTTTAATTACATCCTTCTCACAAGGTCATTCCGGGCATATGCAGATATTTTTTATGATCATAGGGCTGAATGCATTTTAACCCATAACACATAGAACTTAACACCACTATACTTTGTAAATTGTTTTATAAACAGCAGATGTTATTAAAGTATATGTTCTGCTGATTTATTAATGTCTATACCAGAATAATGGTTTTATAACATCTTCTGTTTATAAAACAATTTACAAAGTATAGTGGCGTTAAGTTCTATGCGTTATGAGTTGATAAAATGCATTCAACTCTAAGATCGCAAAAATATCTCCTAAATCATAGAATGTGTAAACATGAAACTTTCCTAAACTGTCCAAGTACAGTTCATTATTGATTTCCCAATGTTTCAACTCAATCCGTACAGGGGAAGTTAAATCGATTTTTTTTCAGCTCTCTCATAATGTGTATCCGATTTTTATTTGTGACTATTAGTTTTTTAAAAGTAACTAAGATCAACAAACAGTGACTAAAGTATAGTGATGAAAATCAAGGGAACGGAAATTCAAAATTGGTATGGCTTAAAGTGTCTAAATCTTTTCTTAATCTGTTAGACTAGTACTGGAAAAAACCCCGTTGTATTTTGTTGAATGAGAAATGTGTTCATTTTTACTGATGATGATGTTCTGAGTGAAGAACGCAACGTCTCAATAAAGTTGCTTACTTTAAAAATGATAAAGAAGGTGGGATTAATCTTTTTGTTGTATTTGAACAGTACACTACCAATAACTTTTGGCAGTTCAGTATGTTGGGCTGAAATGTTTATCATTTATATTAGGAGCTTTAATTTCTAAAAGGAAACGTTGTATAGAAAAAGCGCTCTTAAACAGACTGGTATTTTAATGATGAGCTAGCATTCTTTCTACTACCATGCTCTAGGCTTAAAAGAGTAGTTCCTCTTGAGATTTGAGTGATATCATCTGCGGTTTTGTTGCGTGGTTAAGTGTCCAAACAGGACCTTAGCACTTACTGTCTGCCATTATTAGATTCTTTAATGACAGTAGCTATTATTATTTGAAAAACAATTTTTAATTAATTTACAAAATCGTGCTTTCAGATACTTGTAATTAAAGAGAATGAGACCACACGAGGCATGCACCAATTAGAGTTGGTTGATTTATATTTCTTTCTTTTTTTTTCTTCCTAACAGACAACACTGTAGGAGCTATTCACATCTCATTTTGTATAGAAAATTTTTCTCTACAATTCTATACTTTCGCATAAATTTTGTTGAATAAATACTTGTAGAAATATATCTGACAATAAGACTTTATGTTTGCTCGGATAACACTCACTCTTCACGATATATCGAGTACAAAGCACCGTCTAAACATTTAAGTACGTTGCGTGAGATAAACTACTTGGAGTATCAAAGTTGTTACAGATGAAAATCCTATTCTAAATCTGAAGAAATATTTTCTATTTTTTATTCACAACTATTTCGATATCATGAAATCAGATAATAATTATCAATCTCAGTTTTTGATTATAAAGTGATTTCTATCACCCTATAAGGAAGGATTCCTAAAATTAGAACAAGTTTTGAATTTGTTTTTATTATTTTAGCAATAATTATAAGCATTTGAATGATTACAACAATAAAATCTACATATCGAATGATGTCTGCTTATGTGGCATTATCATGTTTGATCGCATTTGTTATTGTTATAACAATTTGTCTAGTTAAACAATTTATATGGGATCCATTACTAGCCAAAAAGTTTGAAGTTATTCGACCTGCTCTCTATGCATCTGTTCGAAAATTATCGACAACATTTGTTCGAAATTCTACAGTCACCGAAATATCATCAACAGGTCTTATGTCTAAATCAACATCGGTAACATGCATTCGAACAAGTGAACTACCGCAATTAAAAAAGAATCTTGTCACGGCTACTCAAAGTCTTCCCATAGACAATCAACGATCGAACATATTAGAACGACCTCATCATCAGAATATTCCATCATCATTGCGACTTGATTCTTCAACAATGAGTGTATTTGATAATCTAAAATCAAGTTTAGATTATGCGAGAGAAAAATTAACGACAAACAATGGATATAAATCATTCGATGATCAAAATGAAGCAATTTTAACTACTGATACATCAGGAAGTCATCGGTACTACTCATCATTTAGTTATGCTAATACACAACAACAAGGATACACAAATTTTGGTTCCGATGTAATCGACACACCTATCAACGATGAACAAGATGAATTAGCTGTCGATTCCAATACACCCATGTTACATTTTAGCTGTGAATATAATCCTACATCATCTACAATTCGTTTAAATATTCAAAATATCCGCAATATGAAACATATCACCAATAATGCCCATGTATTTATTCGTTTTACAATTTTACCACTACAACGTGGTTTAGAACCTTATGAAACATCAAAGCAAAAAGTAAAAGAATTTGTACGATTCGGTGAAAGTTTTAATATTCTAAAAAATATTAAACAAAAAGATTTACTCAATTTTTCTATTCGATTTTGTGTTTATATTTACGTGACTGAAGCCCAAATCTACGAATTAGGTGAAGCTATTTATCTCATGACAGAGAATAATGATACACTATTTCAATCATTATATATAGAAAAATTACTGCCTATCAGACAACGATTTAAAAATTCAATAACAGTTTCTGATGATTATTAAAATTTTTTGTCAGATTTGAGATCTATTTTTTCTTTTGTCACAGTTCATTGTTGAGTTTATGAAAAAGTTGCAATCATAAAATAAGAATGTGCTTCTGTGATATTTGATCACCATAATCTTAACATTCAATAGGAGTCAACTCATCTTTCCGTTTTAATTATTAAACATATCACGCGTTCTTTTGTCTCAGAAAGATACAAAATGTATTTTAAACGACTGAGATAATCATTTTGTTACTATTGAATTTCGTAATTCATTTCTTCGGCTGTTATGTGGCTGAGCTTTTCTTACCATTAGAAGAAAAAAAGACAAAAATTTCCATCAGAATTAAATATCTACTCGGTAGAAACGAACAGTCGGTTGTACTATTATTACTTCAAAGTCTGAGAAATGAATAGCAAATGTACTTTTATATATTTTCTCATTAGACTTTATGATTATTTATTAACATTGTTCAAATTCTGTTCATAACAAAAAGTAAAATAGATGATGTATCAAAAGAAAACAACAAATATCGATAACTAAAGTATTCTAGTTAACTAAAGTTCTATATGCAACTGATAATGAATATTCTTTATGTAGCTAGCTTCTAATGATTAGAGTATCTGATTGAAAGCTTATGTTATTTGTTATTTCTCATTGTCAGTAAACATGCTTGTTGTTGATCTCGAACGCATCGTCATCGTTCTGATATGTTTCACACTTTTACCATCATAGTGCTGCGTAAAAAGACTTCTTTTGTTCTTTCACAAATAATCTATTCTTTTGTTTGTGAGTATCTAGGTTACACATGAAATCCAAAATAAAATACCAAAAATATTTTGAAAGAGTAAACTTCATTCTAAAATAGAGTAAATTTCAAAGTGATAGTTGGCAGATGACGACATGAGTTCGAGCGCTAATGGATGCGACCTACTGATGGTCCTCGGTACCGTGTTGACATGAGCCAAAATCGCCTAGAAACACTTGCTCCTCGCCATCAAGCAAAATATTCAGCGCTTCTATATCACGACGCACGAGGTCATGCACGTGCATGAGGATGATCACACGTGCAACGTCAAGCGAAATTTGTACAGCCTTGTCTATTGATATATCACGCTTATGAATCGTCAGACGAGTATGCAGATTGGGCGGATATCGAAGCAAGAGACGAGACGTCTTTCGTTTCGTCAACACCATCCGTATACAGTGTTCGTACTCTTGCTTCCGTTTTTATCTTGTTTTTTTATTGTCCGATTTGTTAACGACAATCGCCTGACTAAATAAAATAATATATGGTCAGTTCTTGTCATGATGCATAAGGAAATAGACAGTGGTGATAAAATAATCAAAATAATACATTGTATGTATATTCGCACTTTTCGTGGAAACCGTTTTACAGTGTATCTGTCACCAAAGCTTATCACCACATCTCGATAGGCTGCATTGAGTAGTTCGTTCTTGGTTCGTTGCAAAATCACTCGTTCATGAATGCCCTTCTTCAACTGATTGCTGGTGTCGTACACAGTGTCAAGTAGAACAGACTGTGTTGTAATACTTTCAACAACTGAACCAATAAATCTTTTTCTAAGATTTAGCGCATTACCATTTCAGCCTCGGTAACATCCAGAATGATAAGGCTGACATACTGGAGTTCACAGTAAGCGATGCGAACTTCGTCAGTTATGGATGTCGTTTGAAAAAGTGAATGAGCTTGATAATCGAAATGTCGATTTACAAAAAACAGTTCAGTACTAAATTATTTGGTTCTATTATTCAAAAGCACATCCAGTGTTTAAACTATCTGGGTTTCGTTTTTCGAGTGGGCGGTTGAAATTTTCGAAAGGGCTGTAGGCTAAACAAAGTTTTGCTAAAACGAAATCAACTGTTTATTTTCTGGTGGGCGTCGCCCATCCGGCCCATCCACTAGATAAAAATACACTGAGTACATCCAAATCGCCAACACATCATTCGAGCAAATCTCATTGGGGATGTTCAACACATGTTCGACTCGCCTGATATTCTGAAGAAAAGCCTGATATCGCAGAATCTTGTAGTTGGCCATAGCATAGTTGAATAGACAATTCAAAACTGTTTAAAAAATGATCTGATTGATACAAGGGGGGAAAAGCACCACTTCACTGAGAAAAAACTGAGAATGGTACAATAAATACATTTGTCAAACATAAAAAAACACAATGAAATAGCAATATCACAAATTGACTTGGCTAGAAGTGAAGTGGGTTTCATGTGAAATGAAGTGGCGAAGTGGTGTGCTTTTCTCCCCTTGGATTGATATATACGAGGCGTTTTTTTGATTGACCTGTTCTTTCGATGATGCCTAGGATCTGTTAAGTACTTTGGGGTGGTAAACAGAGACACTGTTTGAAATTTTCATCGTTTTTTTGCTATTTCTTGACCGTTTTTGGTCGGAAAACCTTGCCGAGGTAGATCGATCACTTTTCTGATTACCCCAATTGGGGTAAATAGAGACATTCCACTGAAATACATGGAGTTTTAATGAACAATTCCTTGTTAATTAACCCTAAAATTTAGTTCAAAAATACCTCATTTTATAGCCCGGATCATCCTCTCTCCATCATACAGTTTTGAGCTCATTATCATTTAAACTCATAAAGCTGATTAGGACACAATCGGCTGTACTTGAAATTGTCTTTTTTTCGATTTATATGCATTGGGGGTAAATAGAGACACTCCATTCAAATACACGGGATTCTCACAAGCAAATTTTGATACTATAGTAAACGTTGAAGCTGTTTAGAATCCTAAACTCTATCACATATGTAAAATTTCCCATTATTTCAGTGGATAAGCTTTCATACTGGCTTCACAGTACATGGGATATGAAGCTGAATGTGTTTTATAGGCTAAATTAAATGTAAAATTAATTATGATAACTAGAGACAGGCAATTTTGACAAAATCTTTTGTTTATGGCTTAAGTCAGAATCACCTCAATCGAATGCAAAAACAATCATCTGAAAATTGTGATAACTACACAAGATCACTTCACAAGTACTTCAGATCTGGCGCAAACAATCGTGCCAACTAACCAGACGTTTATAACTCTAAGTAATGCATCTCATCCTTCATTTTTTTACAAGATTCAACGTCTAGTGATCTTGCTAATGTATATCCATCACATAAGACTCCATTATTGAATCTGAATGATTTTTCATTGATCTATGCAGGTATGATGAACTGATTAGGCCGAAGCATATAACTATTCGTAACCTACCTTACTTTTTTCTTATTAAGATTATTCAAACGCTATTTTAAGTCATTACATTCATTACATGACTACTGATCCATTTTTTCAAACTAATCATCTGTTAGGCTTAATTAACAAGGAATTGTTCATTAAAACTCCATGTATTTCAATGGAGTGTCTCTATTTACCCCAATTCGAGTAATTAGAGACACTTTGATGAGCTCTCCGTATTTTGGATCTGACTCAAAATTGGTGGAGATTTTCAAAAGATTTTTACATGCATGAGTAGAAAAGAGTTCGGTCTACCTAGGCAAGATTTTCCGACCAAAAGCGGCCAAGAAACAGTAAAAAAATGATGAAAATTTCAAATCGTGTCTCTATTTACCCCAAAGTACTCTAACTTTAACTCTAATTTTTTGGTATAGTATAAATGAGAACGCAGCAAGTCGAATATACCAAACGATAGCTCCTATTCAGGGCTACATTTCTATATATCATTTGGTCCCCGTGGGCTTGGGCCAAGTATAGAATGTACCGAGATGGGAAAAAATAAACCGTGAGTTTTGTTTTTAATGTATCTTTTTATTATTGATGCTAGAGAGCCAATTCAAACATCATTTCGAAGGACGGATGTTTTTGAACGCTACTATATATAAAAAGAACCGGTACAGAAGACTATTTAAGTCTTAAAAAGAAATTCTTTCCTGTCTTTTCTGTCATCTTAAAGTGTTGTGTCCTGCTCGAGTATAAAAAAAATCTAGTATCGCCCGATTCATCCAGACTACTGGATTTTTACTAGATTGCAATTATTTTATAATGTCAGTGGAAATCGGGCGATTGCTAGATTTCTTCTCAGTTGCAACTATCGATTTATCGTCCGATAATCGATCGATTTAACTATTGCTAGTTGCACATGTTTACGCATCTAGTTAAAAGCCCCTTTTCCAAATAGTAATCTAGATGACAACTAGTCGTGCATCGCTCGATTACACACGAAATGCATCTAGATTTTTCCCATAGGTGATTTTTGCTTAGGTAGCTCATCAAAAACGATATTAAATATTTGGAAATCTAACCCTACTATTGTACCGGTCATCGTTGTAGGCTTCAATACGCAAAGGATTAACCATCTGATAGTATATATACTACCAGATGCTTAATCCTTTGTAATAGTGTGATTTTACTATAAAGACTCATTGATTGGAGTTAACGAAAAATTTTCTACCACTAATGGAACGAAATTTTCTTCACCATCCATTAACCGGGATTAAAATCCAAAACTGAATTGATTTAAGAGTATTCCTCGTTCTTGTCGCTCAGGAAAATTAAATGTTTCCGAGAAATGAAGAAAAATCACGCTAATTTTAATGTCGTTTTTGGCGAGCCAGAACATAACACTTTAAAATGACAGAAAAGAATTCTTTTTAAGACTTGAGCAGTCTTCTGTACTAGTTCTTTTTTTATATATAGTAGTGTTCAAAAATATATGTTCTTTGGAATGGTGTTTGAACTGGTAGCATCAATAATAAAAAGATACATAAAAAAAACAACAACTCACGATTTATTTTTCCCTATTTCGGTTGGTTTTACTAATTCTTATTATCATATACGCATGTCTTGCATGAGATTGTGATGGTATTTTTCTTCTAGAATGAAGCTCTTAGCTTCAGCTAGTATTATGAAAAATCTATTCATTAAAACACGTATAAATCTCTGTAACATTGGTTAATATTCCACCTTAATGTAATTCTGTCATTAGAGTATAACAGAGCCCTGCAGATTGCCACTTTTTGGCAATCTATAACCTAGCCTGTAAAACATTTCGCAACCTAATCGTAACCTAATCTATTCTGTGACTTTTTGTTTTCGACCCATAGAACGGTACATGCATATCTGACAAAAGTAAGCATACATGTCATTGAGTTTACGGAGAGGTTATGTTTAACTTGCAGGGCTATGCAGTATATAGAGATATGAAATTTAATTTTATAGTTCACATTTCGGATACAATTGATGCTCTTCAAAATATCTTGTTCAAAGTGATTTTTTGAAATTCTTAAGTATTCTTGTCCTCTTTTTTCAACCTCTTGACAAAGATGAAAGCAAAGATTCGATTGAGACCAAATTGTTACCACAAATACTTCACATCCTATCTCAGATTCTAAAGTTTTTTCGAAAAATATACTTTCCTTCTCGAGATATTCAAAAAATTTCAAAAAAAAAGGTATTTGACTTTAACAATCTTCTCAAGGCAAAACCAAAAATTAAAAACGCCGTAAGAAAACAACTACATTTTGTTGTTTGGAATTTGTGCCACCATCTTAGTAAAAAGAGTAAAATTAGAGTAGAGTATTAAAAAATCGAGTCAAATTAGGGATTTCCTGAGCTAGAATCTGAAGTATTTGTGGTAAAAATTTGGTATTGATCGGACCATTTTTATTTTTATTCATATCTCCTCAAAAACTATCAGAAATTTCGCACGTGATCGCATAAGTCAGAGAACGAACACTTTACTTTATCCAACTAATTACAAGAAAAATTTTGTAATACTAAAATTTTCTAATGCAGTTTTTTTTTCACTATCATGAAGCTGGCTGGAATTAGTCTCTGCCTGTTTTACGTTACTGGGCTCTTCCTCTTCTACATTGTACATAATGTATTTTCAGTTCTTCAGAGTATTTACTTAAGTAATGTTTTGTTGATTTTCTGATTTAGTAAAACAGCATCGTTCATTCAACAGCATCGCAAGAGGCCGTACCTTTTTGGACCTTTGTAAAATTCATATGCAGTTCTAATTCATTAAAGTTTATGTATAAAATGATTTCATTGAACTAGTGCGTAAAAAATAATTAAAAGACAAGAAAAAAGATACTGTTATGATTTCCACTTTGTCACGTTAGTCTGTTAATTCATAACAATCATAAGAAGAATAAAAGAGAAAAAAACTGAAATAATTTGAAATTGTTATATGTATACAAAATGAATCACCGGCTCGTTAAATATATTTATATACAAGTAATGAGTTGCTATGCATGTTTTATTCGGGATTAATGTTCTTAAACAATGGAATAAAGTCTTCTGTGTGAACAACATCGAAGTTTGTTACCACTATGTATAAAACCATGACATACAAATTATTAATAACAACATTTCGATGTGTCGAACTAAACATTCCGAGAAACAGGATGCCACTAAAATAAAAGTAATCGTTATCCATATTTATCCTGAATGATTCTTCATTCATGCAACCAAGCATACCATATCCTTGCAGTTTGTTCAATCACATACATACCTGATGATAATGGTTCTAATTCGACTTGAACATGTTTTTTTAATCTTTCATATTCACATACATATGATCCGATGACTGTCGGTGTTAAACCCGTATAGTATAATGTCGAAACGTACGACTGTTTTGTAATATTGTTTGTGATTTTTGCATGCGGTGGAGCACCTTGTGATTTCGTTGAAGACGACGATAGTATTGGCTTATTATTATGAAGCCAATGTATTTTATGTAAAGGACGATGATAATTATCCGTTAAAATACAATGAAGTTCGATAGAATAAGCTTTATCAATCGCATTCGCCGGAATTTGAATCTGTGGTGGATCAATATTAAAACTTTCTAAATGAATAATAAAAATGAATCAAACATTAAATTGTGAGTTAAGTATATACAAAACAAGAACACTTACTAATAACTCGAAGATGGTATTGAACATTAATAGTGTTTGGTGAATGTGTTTTACAAATGTAAATGCCCGCATCTGATTCTTCTAACGGTGATATCGATAAAATTGTTGCGTAATGTGATGTTGTTAAATTTAAGTTTCGAATTTTATGTCGAATACTATAACGTGGTTCATTAATTAACGATTGTGTATTGAGAAACAGCGGTTTCCATCTTCTATTGGCGTGATTTCCATTACCTTCAATAGGAATATTATGAAACATCCATTGAATAATCTAAACAAAGAAAAAATTAAACATTTTCTCTATGAACAACATTTTTTACTTACAGTTTTATCACTATTATCACCATCGGAATAAAATCCGCATGGCAATGATAAATCGGAGCCTTTTTCAGCAAATATTTTCATATCAGATGTTGACCATTGAGCTGAAGAAATAATATTCTGGTAAAAAGAAGAACAAGAGAGATGAATAGAAGATTCTTACTAGCTCTGATAATCGCACATAAGATTGATAATAAAAATCCTTGAAGATGATCCATTATCAGTCTAAATAAATAAACAAGATGTGGTTATCATAGGTATTCAGTCGACATCCACAAGCCTTAGGTTAAACTTAAAACATTGTGTGAATATTGCTTGATCAATAGACTAATCATTCAGCAGAGTTTAACCTATGAGCGATGAAACTGAGAATATGATTCCTGATATATTCGTTTTTCCTTTTTTCTCACTAAAATGTGAATAACTTCGGAGTCAAGATGAACACTTAATTCATACACAAAAATGTAGTTTTGACAGTTAACTTTCTAGATACACTATATATTTCATGTTTTCTTAACGATTGAAACAAATTACAGTCGTTTTATGATCGACCGTCGCTTTAGTCAAGGGTAAATACAATGGAAGAAAAACATAAAGAAAGATAGAATAATTACAAATTTGGCATTTGCTAGTATTCACAGCAAGTATGGGTGTGCTCCGTGCAGACTCAAAATATTTTATGATGTGTTCACTTCTGGTATTTTAGCATCGTATACACTAAAAATACTATAATTTTAAATACTTTGAATTGAAGTCATTTTAGAATGGACAATCCTTTTTTACATTTTACGTCTTTTTTAAAGAATAGCAACAACTTTATCTAAAAAAACATCATTTGAACTTGGAATTTCCAAGAAACATTACCGGTTGAGAAACATCTAGTCACATAAAGTTTCAAGATTAACGAAGTTGAACTACACGTACGTGAACTACACGTTGAACTACACGTAGACTCGAGCTGACCTTTAGTTTTTAGTACTTTTTAGAGGCGTCGCTCAATGCCGTTTAAAATACATGGCTAACGAATTAATAAATTAAACAAAAAATGTTTTTTTCTGGAACCAAATGTTTTTATACATTTATGAAAAAGTCTTTGGGGTTTTTTTTAGAAGACGAATAAATCGTGATTTAAGAAACCCTCAATTCTTTTGGTATCTTAAAATATCTGAAAGGTTTTTTCTGACATGAAAAACGTTTTTCACAATATAGTTTAGCCGGATTTTAGAAAACGAACATTAGTTTTTTGATAAGAATAAGAAACGTTCAAACAGTGACGATATGGGTCAAATGGTTGTAGACTTTACACGTTTTTCACGGATGCTTATATACCTGTTTTTGCTTTTCTCAAATGGCTATATCTTTTTAGGGGTTTTTGAAATGCCTTTTTTTTAGAGAGTGAGGACTCTGTCGAGCAGTTTATTTATGGTTCAAATGTGGTTACTTAGCACTGGACTGACCAAAAATTATAGATAAAAGACAAAGGAAAACGATGCAGGACATTTAATATGAAAATCTGTCTCTCGAAAAAAAGGTTTTTCTCTTTTTCTGAGAAATGTAGAAGTTCTGTGCGTGTTCATCTTTTTGATACAAACGGTAAAGTTGGCTTACAATTTTCCCGTTGTTTGCCTTATGTCACTACCATCTATACAGCTATGTAACAAAAGAATTATTCATTTATACTGGACACGTCCTTCACAGTCAGGAGGAGAACTGATCGTGATCAAGGTCGCGTATAGTTTAATTATTTATCACGCAAAATTCGAGGTTAAGTTTTAGATTAACACAGAAATGACCTATGGTATGCTGTACATAACTTGCCTGAAGTATAAAGGAGCTTTTTATTTCGTAATTTATCACAATCACAAGGAACAATATCGTTAAAAAATGAGGTTTTAAAATAATCGAAACTTGAATTTGAAACAATCTTTCATCTATCAAGATCAGGAAGTGCAAATTCAATGAAAAAGGTCTAAGTTATTGTTCTATTACCATTTTTAGAGTACTATTGACGACTTGATGGTAGTTTAACAATTGTCTATAGGAAAGCATTCAAATAATAAAAATTAGTGTTTCCTGTACAAGTCTATATATCGAGGACTTGTTAACACGCAACAATCGATTTGTACAACAGTGACTGTCTTTTGTCTCTATAATAGTAATTACGATAAGCGTACTTTAGATCAAAATGACCACAATATTGTATGAATGCAGAAGATGACCCCCAAGCGAGACTATTTACAAATTGATTAAAAATACATATAAAAAAAGAAACATTCTCGAACAACAGAATAGTCTTTTATTGTATACACCTCCCACAGTGGTCAACTTTACAAAAAAGCAATCATCATCGTCACCAGCATTATTATCATCATGCACGTTTTTTAGAAATGAAAACCTACTATTGAACTTTTATTGTACATATGTATATATCACGCAATCATCAGTGATCGCGATGCGATATATATGCATAAGAAATTAAATTCTTCCTTTTTTTTATATCAAAGTTGTCCACACACATACATATACACACAATTGTTTGAATATATTTATTATAATTGAAGCACACGATGATTGAAGTACGACATATAATATATTCTATAGATGTTACGTTAAGTTAAATATGAGAAAAACAGTTAAAAGTAATCTTTAAAGTATTCAAAAACAGAATATAGATAATATTATGCAGTTAGAATATACAAATAAAAGACACACATTATTGAACGATTAACAACTTCTGAAGTAAGTTGAAAAGTTAGAGAAGTAAAACTTGTCATATTTCACCATTTACTGAAATAGATCATCTAAAAAATCTAAAACGTTTTCTTCTCTAAGCACAGATTGTATAAAAGCTTAACCCTAGAGAATTAGTTGATAAATGTTCATGTAATTAATATCGTCAGAAAGAGAAACAGATAGTAGAACAACTGGTAATGTTATATTTTAAACAGATCTATATAGTTCATATGGGGCTCATTCATATAAATCAAAAAACTAATTGAAATAATTTACAACAGTATATTACACGTCCAATAACAATTAAAGTCTACCATCGAGTCTGTATAACAAGTGAGAGTATGAGAACGATGGTGTGACATGAAAATGTTTCAAACCGCTCGCGAACACGATCATCATCATTATCAAGGCACCGTGTGTATATATGTCGGTCATCGGAAATAAATGATTTTTTTTTTTTCTTTTTCAAACACAATCACCATCATTCATATAGACCATGATCATACGCGATAATTACAAAAGAAAAGGTTAATCAATGTCATTTAATTACGCCGTTCCCCGGCATTAACTTTCTTTTTAAACGTCGGCTGCTTTTGTCCATTTATCACCACGCCTTATTCTATCTAAATACATTGACACTTAAAAATTAAACGACAGTTTAAAAGAGAGTCCAAACTTCATCTGTTCTATTAATAAATGGAAACAAGAACAGTTAGTCTTTTCTTGTTCGTAGTAAATTAATCATTTTTATTTACCATATTTTGGAAACTTTCTGTCTCTTTTAAATATTTGACTATGATGGGTAATAGATTCAAATGAACAAAAATCGAGACTAAGAAATAAAGTGTATCTTCCTTATTTCTCTCTTTCTCTCTCTCTCTATTGCATTCCAGTTTGCAATGGTATAATTTTTGATACTATCGGTCTTTCTTAAAACTATTCTTGGACTATTTCATAAAAGTGTGAGTAAATGTTCTCTATAAAGAATTCTATAGAAAATATTCAAAATAGCTCGAAAGTTTCGTTAAAAGAAAAACAATGCCGTGAAATATATAGCAGATAGTCTATACTGTTAAATTATTCATAACTATATATAGAGATGAAGTTAGTTAGAAACGCACTCTTACGCAAAAGTTCATTATTTATGCATGAGGAAACATTAGAATGTAGAAAGAAAGTATAGAAACAAAAAAGCGAAAAACCACCGTTACATTAAGAGGATTTAAACAAAATTTATTAAATTAAACTAATAAGCCTACTAAAGATATTTCTTTGTTAATTTTGAGCTCTCTCTTAAATGATATATATTCATATTTTCAGTTAACAGAAATATTTTTTTCTTCTTTTTTTTTACCGAAAATGGCTACGTTTGCGTGCATGTTAGATCCTTGAAAAAATGTTGAGATTCACAACGAATTAATGGCAGCATTAAGACACAGTAGATTTATTGTAGTTTAATAAAATAAACTTATTATCCCCTCATTTGTGTAAATAAACGACCATGACCTTTAATACAATAATTTATTTTCAAACTATAATTTTTCTCAAAACAGTTTCCACGTACTTCCTGAATCAAATGTCACTTTTCTTGTAATAAATTGTATGTTGTATTTCTAAAACTGTTAATAAATCAATCATTACAAACCTACCTTTCTTTTAAATTATAATATGTGTGTTTTTGTGAGATAATTTCAACAATAATCTGTCTTATGAAAGATGAATGAAAAGATTATTATTAAACATATTATAGAGAAAGAAAAAGAAACACACTGTGCTACTTGTTTATTGAATGAAGTTCAATTGATAATAGAAGATAGAGAAAAATAACAGAAAAAAAAATTTTTTTCTTAAAATAGAACACGAAAGAATAAAGAGAAGAGAGGAGAAGAAGAAAAAAAAACAGCGCACTAAAAACGTATACATTGTTCTATTATCTATCTATGCATGTTTTGAGTCTATAAAAACTAAAAAAAGATAGTTTTTTAAAAGAAGTATAAAGAGTGGACTTGATCGGCCAGTGATATGTATTGTGTATGTGTGTGTATATTTGTTCTTTTGAACGCGATAAAGATTCGATTCTCAATGTGTGTATACGGGTGTACTTGAAACAAACAAAAAAATGACACATATACCACAAGAAGAAGAAGATGGGCGTTCAAGAATCGACCCAGACATTATACAAGTGTCAAAAAAAAGAAAAAGAAAAAAAAATGAAATCCAGTTCTAAGCGATTCTAATTTATTGAACATTTTTGATTTCATAACTAACATACGTCGTATGTGCGTGATTTTTAACAAGAAAAATTTTTCTCACTTTTCAATCGATTTGTTAAATCTTATCTTCATTAAAAATTCTCATCATATTTCAAATAGACAAAAAACGTTTAAGCAGCTTTCATCGATAAAATGTATACAAATTACTTTAATTGTAAAGCGATTTTGATACAATCATCTATCTGTCGTTTGATCGATTTGCTATAGTAAAA